GGCAGCAGCTTATTCATCTTTGATCGGCAGAAGGTATCGGTTGCAAAGGATGCACCCCGAGAGGCAGAGGAGAAGGCCGGGAGTTAAAAAGAGTCCCACTGTTCAATAAAGTTCGAAAAGCGTGTGGTTGAGCATTCACTGAGTACAACATCAACCCAAATACAGCTGATTAATCTAGTGAGATGGCACCATGCCAAATAATATGAAATAAAAAGGACAAACAAACCAGAGCCAAAAAGGGCTCATAAGATCTGTCATGCTACTCCAATTAATCTTCATAAGACATTCTTTTCTAGGTAAAGTTTCCATAAATTACTAGGGCCAACTAAAATAAATTAATCATGATATAAACAATATAAATATCCACATACTAATCAGTTAGATACTTATATATGTGGATTTCAATGTGGCCTATTAATTGAATGATAAACGTGAATTACAGGTATTATAAAGGATAAAATAATGGCGCTTTAACCACCTCAACTCAATAATAGCAGCTAAAAACTTTGCTCTTGGCTAAACAGTTTTACTAAATTATATCTTTAGGTGACACCAGCTGTAACCAGCAGACCGGTCATTAGTTGGGTTGCCAGTAAACAATCATTGAAAATCTGGTTTGTACGTAACATGCATAAATTAGGCACAACTAATATGAATTGTGCATGAAGGTTATATCACAGGTGACTAAATTACAACAAGGTGTCAGTCACTCTAGCAATTCGCCTAGTCAGTAGGACTTAGATAGCCATATTCACCTTACTATTAATATAGCATGCATGAGAAATATGAATCAGCAATCCTACTTGACGATTGTGTTGCAAGCTGGACTCTTTGTGGCTTCGATGCACTTTTTCTATGACTTACGTACCTGTGTCTACACTACTATTTGCTTGGATTCTCGATGCTGCCTAAATCACTACAAACGTTAGCAGCATAAAGTATAATTTTGGCTACGTGCGAAAAAAATACTGGTCACATATATTCATTACTATCCACACACAGTCTGAAATGAAGATTTGACAAGAAAATCTATATACACGTACAAATGATAGATTAACAAGCGTTCATTGAGCTACGTAAGCAAGAAAATAGAACCAAAAACGAAACATGTCTGTGGCGTCGACTAATAATTCCTCACACATGTGTATATATACCGAGATTGACCAGGGTTTCATTATACATAAGAGCACAGTGCCCCCCGCCGTATGTCACAATTTAACACCATCAGCTGTGTGTGAAAATGTTCCTTGTATTTACTCCGATAAGATATCCCTTATTATGTACCTATATAAGTATATCCAAATACATCTGGTATTCTGTATCAAGCGCATGCATTTTACTTCCCCAAACTGGGCATTACCATCCTGTTGTCAAATTTTCCCGTTCAGAAGAGACCCTTGGATGAGCAAGTATGGCACCCCATTGCACTTGCATGCGTAGCTGTATTCAAATAGGTGTGACAAACACTGAGGACTGTCAATGGTTACTACATATGAACATTATTCACCTCATCATAGTCCCTGACATGTAATTGAATTTGCTCTTCTTTGACGCAATTAGCGAATCAACACAATTCAGCTAGTAACTGTATATTGCTGTGCATACCTGGAGTCCCTGATATAAATTGGCGCTCTTCCTGACTGCTAGTAGAGGTGACTGGCAGGTCATGCCGTGGCGTTGGCAATCCTTGACAGACGAATACCACACAACTTCGCTTGGCTCTGAAATTTATACACTTCCACATAGTGACATTGAACAACCTTACCCTTTGCACATACAAATGCATATATGATCAGACTGTTTTGGTGCTAAATATTTATAGTGTCAATTTCTGATGAAATTGCATTAATATATGTAGCTGACTGTAGGTTTTCTCCGAAGCACGTGATTTTAGTTTTTTTTGAATTTGTTTGGTGCTTCCCTAAGTGCTCATTTCATACTGCAAAAATATACGCGATTATTTCTTACAGATCTGACTAGCAAATCTAGGTCCTGGCAGCAGCATCAATTACTCGTTGACACAGACTTCGGTCCCTGGCGCACTGCGTTCATGGTGATGCACTCGCCGTTTCCCAGAACAGCCTTCCATTAACTGGAATATAACTTCTTCTATCAGCTGTTTAGCAGCTGCACTGCTTCCTGTAAGGAACATTCAAAAGAAGGGCCGAAATCAATACAACATGATTTGCTCGCCGACTTCATTAATTACTGAGCGTGTTATTGCTTACTGAAAATCTAACTTTTTAATGAAATTGAAATTTTTATGTTAATGAACAGATCACTAAGAAACGTTCACACTAAAAACATGCTTCCCTCACAACACTAAAAAATAACTGTAAAACGACCCGGCCAAAATATAATGAATTAGTAACCGTTAATTAACCGTTATCTATCATTATTTGTGAATTTATATTCCTGAAACATACAAATGTACTTAGTTCGACATCCAAACCTACATGTATTCAGCTGCTGTAAGAATTGCTCTCCGACTGAATCTTAAATTGAGTAGTCACTAGCAAGCACAATCTGCA